AAGTTTTAAAGATTATTATTTATATAATTTGATAGTATATTAGTTGTAACATTTACTACAAGAGTTTATTCAGTAGTTTATTGTGTTATCAAAATGATTTTAATTTACTTATTTCAATTGATTTGTTTTATATTTATATTTGTTAATTTTGTCCAAATTGTTTTGCTTAATTAGTTAGACATTATATGCTTAATTTTTACCAATAATTATAATGATATCTTCAAAGATGTAAGTTTTGTTTGTAATTATTTGTCATATAATTATGTATTTTTGAAATGAATTTTTCCTTTAATTAGTGCACAAATTCAGCGACAAATCGACTGCTAATCAGTTGTAAACCTGAGGATCAAAAGTCTACTGAGAATCCAAAGTCTACTGAAAAGCCCATTGACTTTACATCCCTTTGGAATATATTAGCCGTGATTTTATTGATTGCAGTGATTGTCGTCTCAATTAGTTTCTGTTATTATATTGTATGGAAACAAATGACTGAACACAAGAGCGAAATCACTCAACAATCGGTCAAAACGACTAAATCCAAGAAATCGTTTAAAACCTCGAAAATATCCAATACTTTATCAAAAAAGTTTTAAAGATTATTATTTATATAATTTGATAGTATATTATATAGTTGTAACATTTACTACAAGAGTTTATTCAGTAGTTTATTGTATTATCAAAATGATTTTAATTTACTTATTTCAATTGATTTGTTTTATATTTATATTTGTTAATTTTGTCCAAATTGTTTTGCTTAATTAGTTAGACATTATATGCTTAATTTTTACCAATAATTATAATTTGTATTTAATATTCAATTTTAAAATTATTTTATTAAAATCTAAGATTTATAAAACTCCAAATATATATAAAGTTGCAACAAAGGCGCAACTTTCTGGTTTCGCTACTAATCAGTTGTAAACAGAAATCAACTCAAAAACCAAATGATATGCAATTAAATGACAAGAAATCCAACACTCATTGGATTATATTAGCCATGGTTTTAGTGTTGGCAGTGATTATTGTCTCAATCATTGTCTGCTATTGCTATCTATTGAGACCATCTGATGACCCAAAGAGCGCATCCGAATCCAAAACTATGTTCAAAAAATCTTAAATGTTTAATTTCCACATGAATTTAATATAAATTTCATTATTCATTAATGTTTTGCCAACTTTCCAAATTATTAAAAAATTTATTAAATACAATAAATAATTAAATGAATGTTTTGTATTTTTGGTTTTGGTTTAAATGTTTATAAACAGTAAACATTTATTTGATACAAATTTATAAATAATGAATTGTAACAATAAATAATAATAGCGTTCAATTAGTTATCAATTATTGTTGTTTTAAATGAATTAATTAGCATTTTATTTGCACAAAACGTTAAGATTTTAAATTAAATTACTTTTCAATCGACAGACAAAATGCATTTCTTCGCACATCTATTGATAGGTATTTTAATTAGTAATTATCAAAATACATGTAATTATAAATCATAGTTTTTATCTACTGTTTAAAGCGGTGATATGTTTAGCACAACTAAATGGTCAGCCGACACAACATCCAGACAAAGATCACATCCATTTTTGCGATGCCTTTACTGGCAATTCATACAAATTCCAAAACACAGCACAAGTCATGGAAATGCATGTCATAATCGGTAAACAGATGTGGGTTTTGACCGCTAATCAAACCGATGTCTCTATCAGTAATATTATATCCCTCTGAACACAACGGATCCAAATCTAAACTCTATAATCAAATTTACCAACACTTCCCAACTGTTGGACACTATTATGTATTTATACAAAAACATTAGTAATTTGCAAATATAACAGATGCTGTATATGTAATGTTCTTTGCATTGATAGCTCAATGGGGGTAATGTATCGATCCGCTGGACTGATAACCCAGCCGTGACGGGTGCGGTCACTAATTTTACATTACCGCCGGGATTTGAGTCGTCCATCCCTTTCCAATTCAACAATACGTTTGTTTGCTTTTTGAGTCAACCAAAGTCAGCACAAAATCAGATGTTTGAGCGAAAGTATTGTTGTTATGATTTCGGTCCTGATATCAGTCAACCGCAGAAGATTGACCCTGGATATTTGACACAAGATTATCCGTCTATAAAGCAAATAATGGTTATAATGGGGGCAAATGTTGGATCAAATCTTCATTATGTATTCTTCTTCAAAGAAGATATAGATATTATGTATTGTGTGACAAATGGTAGAGATATCTTCAAAGATGTGAGTTTTGTTTGTAATTATTTGTAATATTATTATGTTTTAAAAATAAATTTTTTATTAAATTAGTGCCGAATTTCAGCGGAATATCAACTGCTAATCAGTTGTAAATCAAAACCAACTGAAAAATCCAATACTCTTTGGTATATATTATCTGTGCTTTTAGTGTTGGCAGTGATTATTGGCTCAATCATTGTCTGCTATTATTATCTATTTAGACCATCGGATGACCCAAAGAGCGCATCCAAATCCAAAACTCTGTCCAAAAAATTTTAAATGTTTACTTTCCATATGAATTCAATGTTAATTTTAATATTCATTAATGTTTTGCCAAATTTCAAAATTATTTAAAACATTTAATAATTAATTCAGGAAATAATTAAATGAATGTTTTGTATTTTTGGTTTTGTTTTAAATTAAATCTAACATTTATTTGATACAAATTTATAAATAATGAATTGTAACAATAAATAATAATAGCGTTCAATTAGTTATCAATTATTGTTGTTTTAAATGAATTAATTAGCATTTTATTTGCACAAAACGTTAAGATTTTAAATTAAATTACTTTTCAATCGACAGACAAAATGCATTTCTTCGCACATCTATTGATAGGTATTTTAATTAGTAATTATCAAAATATATGTAATTATAAATCATAATTTTGATCCAATATTAAAAGTAATTATATGTTTGGCACAACTCAATGGTCAGCCGACACAACATCCAGACAAAGATCACATCTATTTCTGCGATGCTTTTGCTGACAATTCATACAAATTTCAAAACACAGCGCAAGACATGTATTCAACGGAAATGAATGTCACAATCGGTAAACAGATGTGGGTTTTCACCGCTAATCCAACCGATGTCTCAATCAGTGAATATTATATCCCATTGAACACAACGGAACCCAATCCAAGCAATACTTTCACAATCACATACAAAGGGTCCGAAACTGTTGGAGAATATTATGTATTTATTCAAAACATTAGTAATTTGCAAATATAACAGATACTAATTATGTAATGTGTTTTGCATTGATAGCTCAAAGAAGGTAATGTAACGGTCCACTGGACTGATAACCCAGCCGTCACGGATACGGTCACTAAATTTTCATTACCGCCGGGGTATGAGTCGTCCATCCCTTTCCAACTCACCGTTATATCCGATATACCGTTTGTTTGCTTTTTGAGTCAACCAAAGTCCGCACAAAATCAGAAGTTTATGCGAAACTATTGTTGTTATGATTTTGGTGTCGATATCTATAGACCAGTGCTAATGCCCGGGATTTTGTCACAAGATATTAGTGCTTCGAATCAAATAATGGCTATAATGAGGGCAACGGTTGGATCAAGTTTTCATTATGTATTCTTCTTCAGAGAAGATAAAGGTATCGCGTATTGTGTGACAAATAGCGGTGATATCTTTAAAGATGTGAGTTTTGTTTGCAATTATTTGTGATATTATTATGTATTTCTGAAATGAATTTCTCCTTTAATTAGTGCACGAATTCAGCGACAAATCGATTGCTAATCAGTTGTAAACCGACTGAAAAATCAAAACCAACTGAAAAATCCAATACTCATTGGTATATATTATCTGTGCTTTTAGTGACGGCAGTGATTATTGTCTCAATCATTGTCTGCTATTTGTATCTATTGAGACCATCGGATGACCCAAAGAGCGCATCCGAGTCTAAAACTCTGTCCAAAAAATTTTAGTTTCAAAATGAATTCAATCTTAATTTCTTTATTTATTACTGTTTTACCACTTTTTGAAATTAATTAAATAATTAAATGACAAATCTGTTTATTGTTTTTGTTTTAAATGTGCATAAATAGTTTAAATTGATTTGATACTAATCCTATATATTAATTTAATTATGTTTGTGATCTGTACGCATAACAATTAAATTAAAGGGCATTCAACAATGCATTGCAATTCAATTGATTTATTTTTAACGGAAAATGACAGCGCGAGGAGATTTTTATTATTGAAAAAAGCTTTTTGACCCCTTATTGTAAGCGCGTGGGGCTGTGATTGTTGGCCACAATTCCCATTGAGAAAACAAAGTAAATAATTTTGAACGTCCCCTCACCTAATACGGCACTTATGATGGCCGGGGATACAAAACGGGTGTATAACTATAACGAACGCCTCGGCCAATGTACTAACGGGTCTCAGGCAATAACCAATGACTTGCCCAATTTAACTACGGGTACCGGGTATACCTAACGCCACGGGTAATGTATCCAGGCGTCCCACGTATGGCCAACGCCACGGGCAATGTACCCAGACCTCATAGGCATAACCAACGCCACGGGCAATGTACCTATGACTACCAGGTATAACCAACGCCACGGGCAATGTACCCAGATTTCATAGGCATAACCAACGCCACGGGCAATGTACCTATGACTACCAGGTATAACCAACGCCACAGGAAATTTACCCAACCCTTCCATAAGCAAGTTTAACTCTCAATTTATATTGTTTAAGTTATATTAAGGTTTAGGTTAAGTTAGGTTAGGTTAGGGTAGGTTAGGTATGCAGGTAGGGGTAGGCGGCGTAGGTTTGAGGGAACAGGGTCATGTAATCGCATAACAAAAGTAATCATTCAGAACGTTTAGTAGGCAAACGCCTCGGCCAATGGTTCAGCGCATTATTACTTGCAATTTATATTTAAATTATATTGCCTTGGTATAGGTTAGGTTCAGTTGGGTTGGGAATTAGGTAAGGCAATGAGTCATGCTATGTTTAAGGTAACAAAGTTCTGTAATCATATATAATAGTTATGTTGTCCGATGGGTGATATGCTAGTCTATACATAATTAATTCTAATAAAAAATAATAATAGCGTTCAATTAGTTATCAATGATTATTGTTTTAAATAAATTAAATATAATTTCGTTTATGATTTTAGATTAAACTACTTTTCAATCGATAGATAAAATGCATTTATTCGCACATCTATTGATAGGTATTTAAAACTAATTAATAATTACTAATTAACAAAAATACGTGTAATTATAAATCACATTCTTATTTAATGTTAAAAGCGGTGATATGTTTGGCACAACTCAATGGTCAACCGACACAACATCCAGACAAAGATTACATCCATTTCTGCGATGCTTTTGCTGACAATTCATACAAATTTCAAAACACAGCGCAAGTCATGTATGAAATAGAAATGAATGTCATAATCGGTAAACAGATGTGGGTTTTCACCGCTAATCCAACCGATGTCTCAATCAGTGACTATTATATTCCTGTGAACACAACGGATCCCAATCTAAGCTATATAATCACAATCACATTCAATGGGTCCCCAACTGTTGGACATTATTATGTATTTATACAAAAACATTAGTAATTTGCGAATATAACAGATACTGTACTGTATATGAGAGCTTGGCGATCATGGGGATCTTAGCACATTGCTTTTGCTCATTGTCCATAGGAAATACATTAGGTGCTAGGATCCCCATGATCGCCAAGCTATCATATGTACTGTGTTTTGCATTGATAGCTCAATGGGGGTAATATATCAATCCGCTGGACTGATAACCCGGCCGTCACGGGTGCGGTCACTAATTTCTCATTACCGCCGGGGTTTGAGTCGTCCATCCCTTTCCAACTCACCGATACGTTTGTTTGCTTTTTGAGTCAACCAAAGTCGGCTCAAAATCAGCAGTTTATGCGAAACTATTGTTGTTATGATTTCGGTGTCGATATCAATAAACCAGTGTTAATGCCCGGATATTTGTCACAAGGTATTAATGCTACGAATCAAATAATGAGTATAATGGGGGCAACCGTTGAATCAAATCTTCATTACGTATTTTTCTTCAAAGAAGATACAAATATCACGTATTGTGTGACAAATAGCAGTGATCTCTTCAAAGATGTGAGTTTTGTTTGTAATTATTTGTGATATTATTATGTATTTTTGAAATGAATTTCTCCTTTAATTAGTGCCAGAATTCAGCGACAAATCGATTGCTAATCAGTTGTAAATCTAACGCCAAATCAACTGAAAAACCAAATGAAATTCAAATTGTAAAGCAATCTAATGAAAAGAAAACTACTATTGTTTGGTATATATTAGCCGTGATTTTAGTGATTGCAGTCATTATCTTCTTAATCATTGTCTGTTATTGTTATCTATTGAGACCATCGGATGACCCAAAGAGCGCATCCGAATCCAAAACTTTGTCCAAAAAATTTTAAATATTTTAGTTTCAAAATGAATTCAATGTTATTTTTATTATTTCTTAATATTTCGCCAATTTCTGAAAATTAGTTACAAACTTATTAAATCCCAGAAATAATTAAAAAAAATAGTTTGCGTTTTTTAATGTAATAAATTGTAAACTTTTATTTGATTGTAAACCTTTATAAATAATAAATTTCAATAACAATAACTATGCATACCGTTTAACTAATTGTATATAGCGTTTACTAACTGTAATAGTTTATTATTGTTGTTTTAAATAATTTGGATACTATTTCATTTATACAAAACGTTAGGATTTAAAATTAAATTACTATGAAATCGACAGACAATTAATAATTAGATAAATATTTAACGTCAGACAAAATGCAATTCTTCGCACATCTAGTGATAGGTATTTAAAACTGATTATCAAAATACATGTCGTTATAAATATGTGATACTTAATAACTTTAATCCACTTTTAAAAGGAGTGATATTTTGGCCACAATTGAATTGTCTCATAACAAACCACTCAGACATCGGTCACATCCAGTTCTGCAAAGCGTTTGCCGACAATTCATACAATGAATATAAAACTGTTTACGACTTTAACACTCAAACACTGATCATTATTATCGGCAATCAATACTGGCTTTTGAGGGCTAATGAAACCGATGTCCGAATGGATAGTGAATATCATGTGATCGACAATTTCTATGCCGATCCCGATATTGGCTTTATATTTAAGTCAACGAAATATGACTTCTATGGAGTCTATAACGTATATATTATAAACTATAATGTCTTCATTAAATTTGTGCCTAATTTTAAGTTGAAAATTATTTATGAATAGTTTAAAAATCACACGTTTTATTGGATACATAGTCTGGATGACAATCATACCAGTCAATCAACCAATCAGTTGACGCGATCAGCAAATTTGCCGGCTGAATATGATTCGGCAATTTATTTCCTTTCACACGATTCCCAACGAAGTGATTGTTTATTGAGTCAAACAGAGCCCACACCGACTGACCATCAGTTTGTGAGAAGATATGGTTGTTTTCCCCGTCGGTTTGATGTAAACGATAAAACACTGATTCCCCGTCTGACTGATGGCACTCAAAGTGCGAATCAAGTGATCGGTATTATGGGACCAATCGGTGGAACAATTCCTCGATATATATTCTTCTTCAAAGAGGACACAGATATCACGTATTGTTTGACACAAAACAGTGATTTTCTCACAGATGTGAGTGTTTTGTAATTGTTTGACATATTTATGTATTTTTGAAATGAATTTCTCTATCAATTAGTGTCTAAATTCATCGGCAAATCGTTTGCTAATTAGTTGTAAAGCAAAATCTATAACCCATTGGATTGTATTGGCCGTAGTCTTAGTGATTGCAGTGATTATCGTCTCAATAATTGTCTGTTATTGTTATCTATGGAGACAAATGTGTGGACACAAGACATCGACTCTCGACCACTCGTTATCTAAAGATTTCTAAACAACATTTCTTTTCCTTCATTTTTTCATTTAAACAGAACTAAAATTGAATACAAATATTAATTTTATTGATAAACAGATTATTTCAAAAACATATTATAATTTACATAAAAATACTGACATTTAAAACAATAAACTTCACGTTTTACCAAAATATGAGATTAAAACTTACAAAAATGATTTTTCATAAAATTAGTTTTTTAATTGTTAAACATCTATAAATATACAGTATATTATATATTAATTTGTAACAATACAGTAATCTAAGATTTATAAAAATTTATATAATGTATTATGGCATAATAATTATGCAATTGATACTAAAATATATGTTATACAGTTCATAATTATTTTAGATTTATGTTGTTATAATTATTTTACACAATAACATTATAATTTAATCACTATTAAAATTATTGACAATAGTATAGACGGGAATATATAACTCGTATATTCTATGTTAGTGTATATAATGTCTATTACCAGACGTCTCTGTCACTCGGCGGTCGTATTTAGCATTTTATTAGTTAATTGATTATAAAATCAGGAGTTGTGTCACTCTTTTGTTGAATTAACAGACATTTCCTGTCACTTGAATTAGTGATGTCATTGTCATCCGACTCCCTGTCCCTCAACACAAAACATCAACATCTTTCTCACTCTCCCCTCCCTTTCGCAGTCTCTCTCTCTCTCTCTCTCTCTCTCTCTCTCTCTCTCCTCATTGTATAACTATTTGCCCATCAATTCATATCAATCACTAATTAATCCCAATAATGAACACAAGAAAAATATTTTACACAAAAATCTCATTCACTTAAATAAAATCAATATCTTTAAAGTTTTGATAAAGAAAATTAAGCATAACTTATGAAATATTTTGATTGAAATATTTATTTATTGTAATTTATATCAATTTTATTGACGATTAAATGTGTGATTAATATTTATTTATTTTAAATTTTCAATGATATGAAAGGGTTATGAATATCATAATATGATATGTAATGTTCACACAAAACCTCCCACTAATTAACTGTAAATTATTGTACAAAAAATGCAATAATATTTCTGACATTCATTTAAAAGCCAGTTATCAGCGGATTGTTTGCTTGATTTTCATGTTATAAACTACTGTATAGTTAACTGATAGCGACTATTGATTAAGTCCTTGAGATGTGATATTTAGGGCCAACGAATTGCCATAATTTGCGATCATTTAATCAATTTTAATAATCAATTCAGAGAAAAATGTTTATCACAGCAAAGATATAACGCAAACGTTTGCTTATTATAATAGGATATTTGACAGCAAAAACTTTTTGAGCTGTAAATTCATTGATTATATAGTGGTTATCATTGATAGGTTGTGTCGTACGGTGTCTGGTGTGGTGTCGGGTCAAGAATATGGCTAAATTAATTATGCCTAATGTTTTGTATTTATCATGTGTTTTATTATGTTATTTACAATTCAACGTACAATCAGTGGTCGACGCCTACAGTACTGACAAAAGTATGGCTTAATTTTAATCATACAATTAGTTTCATTGAAAAGTGTGGCAAAACTTTTTGAAACTCATTGTATTTGATTTTTCTAAATCTAATTAAAAACTCTAATGAATTGTGTTTTAGTTGTATTGAACGGGCGATAAGTAAATACACAATTCATTACTGTATTGTATTTAATTAAAACTAGTAAATTAAATTAAATATAATAAAAATATGGTGATTTTTTCTCTCCCATCAAATCCCTGAAGGTATAAATCTAACGGCAACTGTCGGGCAGACTCTTGAGCTGAAATGTCCAATCAGTGCGGAGGATGTCAGCGATAATCTGGTAATTAATTGATTAGATTTTGTATTTTTTGTGTTGATTTTTGCTAATTTTCATCCACTAATTGAAAACACTGTACATTTCATAAACATATTTCGTGTTAATTTCCTACGAGTTAATCAATATTCATCATTATTACAGTATTTTCACTATAAAATTTATAGTATAAATAACTTTTTAACGCATGTTTCCCATCATTTCATTATAAAAGTTATAGTTTTAGTTACAAAACACTATTTTAATTATTTAATGAACAGTTTAATTGTCATATATTTTAACACATAATTTGTTAATTGATTTAAAGGTGACATGGATTAGGAAACGTGACGGACATATACTGAGCATTGAGCGCATTAAATACACGGTTGACCACAGGTTTACACCCATTCACGACGGGAACCATTGGGTGCTGAAGATAGACAATGTGACCACCGGTGACGCCGGCGTATACCAGTGCCGGCTCACCAATTCTCGCACCAGAAACTTTGTAAACTCATAAATTAATCGCTAATTAACGGCAAAATAAAACTAATAATTAATGTATTGATTAAACAGATTGAAAACACGACAACCGCTTTCAGAGTCAACGTATTTGGTATTATTGACAATACAATTATCGCCTCATTTAAAGCGATCTGATTATTAAAATTGTGTTTTTCTCTCTATATTTCATTCAAATCGCTGACAAAAACCACAGACTCTTACCACACAAACAAAGAGGAGATAATAAACGTATTAAATATATTGGATTTGGACTCCGAGGAGCAAAACAAGAAGATCGAGGAGTTCTTGGAGAGAGCGGAGGACATCATCCGTAAGGCGGAGGACTCGGACGGGACGCTGAATCCGGCGATGATTGTCAACGAGTTTCTTCCGGATCCGATGGTTGTCAAAGACTTTAATATCTCGGAGTCGGGCGGACTGACCACGTTCGAGGGCAAACTCACCAACATGACCATCCACGGCCTCAAACAGCTCAAGATCAGTAATATATCATTCAATTTGGGTTTAATACAACTGAAAGTCCAAATGGATTTGCCTGTCATTAGTCTTCAGGGACTCTACGATATCGATGGAAGGGTTCGTTGGGTTTTGCCATCATTTATATTATGCTTTCAATCATTAAAAATATGATAATCTTCTTCTTCTTCATCTACTTTTCCTCTCAGAGAAAAAAACAAAACAAAACAAATGATTCGTTCGCTTCTCTTCTCATACGAGCTTTTAATAGATTTATATATTTTTTTATATGTTTTTATAAATAAATGAGATTTTATATCCAAATAATTCATTTTTATGTTAAGTATATTTTTTTCGGGTAAAAGAAATTTATATTTTTTCCGTTCAGTCATAAAACATCTAAAGACTTATTTCAGTATTACATTCACTAATGATCTCTAAAATTGATTTTCTTGTGTTATTTTTATACCAAAAAATTCTCTCTCTCTCTCTCTCTCTCTCTCTCTTTCATAATTTATACTTTAAAGAATGAATAGTGGCATGTTCAAAAACAAATTATATTTAAATAACCTAATATTTTTATGCTCGATTGGAAATGAATATTTATATATGGTTAATTGCAAATCCATATTATAATTGAGACTGTAATATAAACGTAAATAGAATAATATAATTATTTATTCATTGATGTTAGATTAATAATGGGGAAAAACCACAGCCGGTAGTTTATTTTTATAATAAAAACTAACAAAAATATAACTATTTCAAATATTTAGTTAATTATTTTGTTTTGTGTTTAATAAAATATTGATAAAATCTTTGCCTGTTTTTAATAACTATAATTTTATTTGAAAACAAGTTCATTCAGCCCATTTAAAACTGACGCGCTCAATCAGTTTAGCCTATCAAAACCCACTCTGCTCGTATAAACATTGCATCACACAATGAAATACATTGAATGTATGTATGGATGTATGTGTGTGTGAGAGAGAAGATCACCACCAGAGGTAGGGCAAGAAATTTAATAAATATAATAAGATTTTTGATATTTTTAAATTAAATATTTTAGAAATGAATGCAATTTTGAATTATATTAAAATTTTCATTATATAAATGATTTAAATCACTTATAAAACCAGTATATAAAAATTTTAAGAAGAGAGCGAGAGAGAGAGAGAGAGAGAGAGAGAGAGAGAGAGAGTCGTGGTATTAATATAGGGATAACATAGGATCTGTAATTTAAAACTTGATTTATTATAAAAATTAATGCAAAATTATTAATATTTCTGTTAATTCTATTAGTTTAATTAAATTTAATCTTTTTATAAAATAAATTTAAAATATTAATTATAATTATTTTTATGAAAAATATGGCATAAGATATTATAAATACTTAAAATTGTACCAACTGTAATAATTATCATATTGTACAAATTTAAACATAATTAATAATAGAAAAATGATTTATTGGTTATTTATTGGTACGATATTTTTATTATAAATTAGTTGTTATTATTGTAATTAAATTCAATTATAGACATAAAATTAATTATTAAATAATTATATAATTAATTGACTATTTTAAAATATATTATTAATGTTAAAAACATAGAAAATATAACAGTGTTTGGCTAAATTTTTATAAAGTTTTATCAATTTTATAATTAGGCAATCCACTTACAATGTGTCAACTTAATTAAAGATTGAATATAACCTAGACCATCTGGGCTCACAATGACCAGCTCTATAAGAACGTTAATACCGGAAGGTCATTGATGTTTAACACACTGGTCATACATTATATACGGCAGCAGTTTTGTGAGCATTTCTTACAAACTAAAAGTGCGATTAATAAACAGTTACTGACGGCTAAGATATATGGACCAAACGATGGACGTATTGGCCAGACATGTCGGTCAGAATACGGATTAAATCACCCGGTTTATGGTAGTTAACATATAGATGTGGCAACACATTGATTGGGAATTTAAAAATAAATTTATAAATATTAGCTATACATAGATTCAGATAAACTGTAACATTAAATGGATATTAGCAAATACAATAATGATAAGTTTGTTGATAATAAATATTGGACTACCCATCCGAGAATCATGATTAATAAAATAATATTATTAAGTTAAAATATGCTTTATATTTTATTACGATAATACAATATTAATATTTTATTATTTGTAATATAAAGATTTACTTTATTTACCCACAAGCAAATCATCAAAGTCTCCCAACTAAATGAATTATTAATTTATTTTAAAACTAACTATTTATCTCAATTTATAAATATATTACATTATGTAATTAAAGTAAAAATTATATTGCTTTCATTTAAAAAATAAGTAATACCATGATGGAATAATTTTTATTTTTATTAATATAATTTTGCGTCTTTTTAATCAATTTAATTAAAATAACAAATGTACTGTATATCAAAATTGATAAAAATAACGTGATAAAATAATTACCTTAACATGCTCATACGACAATTGACGTGAATTCAATTGAATTTATTGCTTATAGCTGATATTTCATGAATCCGTGTCCAAATGCATAATTTAAAACAAGAACTAGACACATGATAAAAATAAAATTGTTATATAAACAAGAATTAGCTTATTTATAAAATTATTATTTTTTGTAAATGTATTGTTTAAACAATAATAAAATAATGTATTTNAATAAAATTAAACAAGTGAGTCTGAGTAATTGGTTTTATTTAATTTTACCATCAGCATAGAGTATACAATACACCCACAATATCATACAGCAACAAGTGTTTGAGATATTAAAACTTAATTGATTAAATTAAATTAAATTATTATTGATATGATAATTGATTTTGTATAATTGATTTAATACAAAATATTTTCAATCTTATTTTTAAAATGTGAACATGATTATCATTATTATAATATTTACAATATTACAAATACATACAAAATAATGTCGGGTAGATGGACCAATATTTTATATGTTAAAAATGCAAATATGATCTATTTAAAATAAATTTGTTACATTTACAGTTAATAATTATATTTGCATATATTTATTAATATATTAAATAAACAAATTATTGAATATAACTTAATTTTTTTCAACATATAGAAATTTTATATTATTGGGTCATTTGACAATCTTCAGGCCTAAATATCTTCTAGTGTAGATAGAATTATGAAAATGGTATTATTATTTAAGTTGACATTCTTAAGCACTAGAAATCAAGTTTCATTAAGATTGGTTGATTAATCTTTATGCTAGAAATTTTTAAAATGTGTCAGTCGGATATATTTTTACAAATTTATACAAAAATATTTGATAAAAAATTATCACATTTTTAATGTTAAAATATTTTTACAAAATACATGTTTAAAGTGATTATTTGGTTATTGAGTTTTACAATACGTTATCCGACAATAGTTTTAAGAAGATTTCATGACATCAATTATAATGGAAATTAAATGCAAACCGACCGAACACAGGCCGCCAATCGGGTTGACTACCGATAAAGATTTGGTTACAGCTGGGGTATCCGTCAATGTTTCCCATTGAATAGCATATCATTAGATTCAGTAAATATGGAAGATTTCAGAAGAGTAAGGGTTTTGTATTATCTCTATTATTGTTTAAGCATGATCAATTTTAGTCTAAAATCACACGTCAATAAATACCAAAATAGCCACTCTCCCATAGAAATACATTATTTTGGCAGGTGTCATATAAAATATTCCTGTGCCATAACTATTGATGCGAATTTTATTAAACTTGATTTCTGGTGCCTAGGAATGTTAACTTAAATTATGATACAATTTTCATAATTTAATCTACACTAGAAAGCATTTGGGCCTGAACATTGTCAAATGACCTAATAATAAAAAAATATTATTAATAATTTAAATTATTTATATAATGCTAAAATAAAATGTCTAAATAAGGATATTGGAAATTAACACATGATATTCATAAATCTTATATCATTTATTAAATTTTTAAATGTTTTAATATATTAAACAATAATTTTAATTACAATTTTCATTTAACATTTTGTATTATAAATGCCAATATATAGCTTTAGGTATTGATCCGTTTAAAAGCATTTTATATTGAATTATATTTATGTTGAAAACACTTTGCAGTAATTACATTGACGTTTATAAGTAACTAGCTATTAGAACATAGATTTCTATGGGTTGAATACTTTTATTATAAATTTACCATCACATTCGCCATCTATTATCTCTCTCTCTCTCTCTCTCTCTCTCATTCTCAACCATGGGCATTGGGGAAAAAAGTCATGTAATACTATCATGGAAATAATTGAATAAAATTAAACAAGTGAGTCTGAGTAATTGGTTTTATTTAATTTTACCATCAGCATAGAGTATACAATACACCCACAATATCATACAGCAACAAGTGTTTGAGATATTAAAACTTAATTGATTAAATTAAATTA